TGACCCCAGGGACAGACAGGACCCAGCCGTCTCCTTGGAGGCTGAAGGTGATGGTGTGGACGTGGCCGTCTGAAGGGCAGTGCCAGCTGTGGTTACATGCCCAGAGCAGCCTGGTGCTGACATGCTGAGGCAGCCGTGCCATGCTCGGGCAGAGCCCCCCCAGCCTGGCACCTGGGTGCCCCGGGCTGTGCTCGTCCCCCCTGTGCCCCAGGGATGGGGCTGGGGATGGCCCCACCCTGCTGCTGATGGAGGGATAAATCAATTTGGTGCCTTGTGAGTGCCCCAGGAGAGCGGCTATATCGGGAGCGGGAGGAAATGGAGGGGCTTACAGAGGCAGCTGGAGAGCAAGGGCAGCCTGATGCTCTTTCATTATTGATGAGCGGGGTGTATTGATCCCGGAGCCAGCCGCTCCGCGATGCTTCTTAATGGATCCTGAGATGCTGTGTCATTAAGAAGGACATTGAGCCGGGATGAGTGGAGCCAGATGGGCCAGCAGGAGACATGGCTGAGGCTGTTTGGGACCAGGCTGGGGCGCGTGACCGGGGTGCTTCGGGGTGCTGGACCAGATTCCCCTGAGACTAAGGCTGGTGGGGCTGGGTCCAGGGGACTGGGCATCCCACGGTGGGCTGCGGGAGCTGAGCAGCTTGTGGCTGCACCTCTCATTTGCTTGGCCAAGGGGCTGGGATGGAGACTCCCTGGTGCGCCGCGACCAGCCGTGGGGTGTGGATCCTCACGTGGGACGGGGGCCATGCAGGGAAAAAGGCTAAAATCAGCAATTCCCATCAATGTTTCCGGCTTGGTGCTGTAAATCACCCTGATGGGAATCGATCCCTCCTGGTGCAGGCGGGGGGTTGTGGCTGCTGGGGGCCAGGGGAGGAGGCCAGGCGTGGGCAGAGACCTGAGGGCCCTCTGAGCCGGGATGCGGGGGGGTCTGGGCCCCTCTGGCCACAGCCCAGAGATGGGGGCAGGGTATGGGGCTGAGTACTTGGCCCCAAGGGGATGGGTGCCCCAAGAGGATGGGTGCTCAGGGCTGCGATACTGGTGTTAGATGCTTTCCTAACCCAGGGGTGTGGGGCAGGCAGTGGGGAGCCTGCAAGGCTGTCCCAGGAGTGCCCACCCCTGTGTGGCATGGCATGGAGAGGGAAGCAGGAACTCCGGCCGCAGCCACATCCATGTCCATGCCCTGCAATGGCACCACATGTCATCCCTCTTGGCGTCACCTTCCTTCTCCCAGGTGGTGGGGCAGGAGTTTGCTAAACCGAAAGCCGCTTCCCTGCCCCGCCATGTGCCCCTGAAGCTGCTGATGCCCGACATTCGCGGCTCTAAAGAGCGGGCATGGAGGGATGTGGGTGCATTGCCCTGTCCCGGTGCATTGCCCTGTCCCATGTATGGCTGGCTTGCACTTCCCCCATTGCCCCTCTCACCAGTGCCTGGGCGACGTGCAAAGGCCCACGTCTCTCCTGCCACTTGAAAAAGCGCTGATATAATTAGGGCTGTGGTTGAGGGAATTACTGGAGCATCTGCCTGCAAAGCCCAGGTCCCCTGCCTGGGGAGATGGCCAGGTGCTGCTGCTGGGAGGGGAGCGCATTTGGTCCTCACCCCTGCAATCCCCCTGGGCCTGGGACGGCCACTTGGCTGGGGCGAGGGTCTCTGTGCTGCAAGTGCCCTGCGCTGGTGGGGCTGCTCAAAACTGGGATTTGCAGGGATTTGCTGCCCGAAACCGGGATTCGCCCTCACTTTAGGTGTTATCTTCCATCATGCAGGGGTCAGGCAGCGTCCTGCCCCCCTGTCTGCACGCTCAGGGTCCTGCCTGTCCCCCAAGACTGTGAACTCTGCCTCCTGCATCATGGGTACGCCCTAAATAAATGCCGGGGGGCTGCATGCTCTCCAGCCTTGCAGGACCCCATTCCCCTTGTCCTCCATGATGCTGAGGCTGCCTTTGGCCATTCACCGACCCCCAGGGGGGTGCGTGAGTAGGCAGGGGTGCTGCTGGCCAGGCAGGAGGCTGCCAGCTGGAGGCAGCTGCCGGCGTCAGGGAGAGCCCCAAGCGTTGACCCTTCCCTTCTGCGCGGCTCCTGCAACCTGTCCCCAGGGAGCCGTCCAGGCGCCATCGATCCCCTCGCTCGGTGGCCTTTGACCAGGCAGGCCTTTGCCGCCGC